TGTGTTGTGTGCGTGGTGTTGTGTTGTGATTGTGGTGTGAGTGTGTCTGTGGTGTTTGTTGGTGTGGTGTTGTGTGTGTGTGCTTGTGGTGCGTGTTGTGTTGTTGTGTGTCGGTGTGTGTGTGTGTGGTGTGTGCGTGCGCTCGGCCCTGCGTGCGTTGGTGCGTGCGTCGTGCGTCGCCTGCGTGCCGTGCTGTCGTGTACGTGCGGCGTGCCGTGCGTGCGCTGCTCGTGCCGCTGCGTGTGATGTGTGCTGTGTGTGTGTGCTGTTGTGTTGTTGTTGTGTGTGTCGTGTGTTGTGTGTGTGTTGTGGTGCTGTTGTGTGTACGTGCGTCCGCACGCGCAGCTGCGCGTGTGTATATATATTGCTTATTATAATTTATATATTTTTCATTCAATTTACGCATCCATCTCGTCCTCTCCTCATTTCTGGGTGGATGCTGCAGACCGCTGCACTCGCCCTTGTTGAATCATTTGTTGCGTGCTCGTCTGTTTGCGTTCTGTCGTATGTCCATTGCGCGACTGGGGTTGTGAGACAAACACAAGGCGTTCAAATTCCTTATCTCATCACGTCCGCGCATTCACGTATATAGAACTACGCCTGTCAACGCGCACAGCTGTGCGGTAGCCGTTTGTGACGAGCCAGCTGTGCATCGAGCGACATCGGTTACAAGTGACCGTACCAAGCAACACACTGCGAAGGATTTGTCGCACGAGTCGGGGTTTCCTTGTCCTGCCTTGTCACCGTCGTATGCGTGTAGTCACGCAATTCTGACACGGTCACTTATAGAGTGCATCGAGCGACACCCGACAGCAGCGAACTCGTAATCCCGTGTCCACACGTTGACGAGTCTCATTATACCGGCTCATGCTAATTGTTTTTGATGCGCGTTGGCTGAACGAGAGACCGTAGTTGCGATTGCGGGGCGCTGGGTCTATGGCTAAATCTGCACGCTTAACCATCACCCCCCCCCCCTCCTCTCTCTCTCTCCTCTCTCTCTCCTTTCTCTCTCCTCTCTCTCTCTCTCTCTTTTCTCTCTCCTAAGCTCTCTCTCTCTCTCCCTCTCTCCCTCTCTGTCTCTCTCCCCCTCGTCCCCCGCGCTCCTCTTCCTCTCGCTCTCTCTCTCTCATCTATCTCTTTTCTCTCTCTCTCTCTCTCTCTCTCTCTCTCTCTCCTCTCTCTCTCTCTCTCTCTCTCCCTTCTACCTCTATCTCTCTCTCTCTCTTTCTCTCGCTCTCTCTCTCTGTCTGTCTTTGCTGTCTGTCTGTCTCCACTCTCCCCTCTCTCCCCCTCTCTCCCCCTCTCTCCCTCCCCCTCCTCCCTCCCCCATCTCGCTCCCCCTCTCTCTCTTGCTGTTTCTCGCTGTCTCTATATCTCACGTGATAATTTTTGAAGCCACGCGAGCCAAAACTGTTTTAGCGACACGAGATCGTTCGGGTGATGCTCCATTAGGACGTTCCCAACTTTGTCGTGATATAAAATAGATATAAAGGGGTGGGGCGCGATCCATATAAATTAGATATCGGGGGGCGCGGCGTAGCATTATGAAATAGAGTATCTTGTTCGCTTCGAATGTAGGCGTGGAATACAGATCCCTCGCTGTAACATTCCCGCGCACGAAAATGCCGTGCGTCCTCTCGTGCAGTGTGCATGAATGGAAAAAGGAGTCCGTCTGATATTTTATTAAATTTGTCTCCGGTTCCTTCGATTCATGAATACGATTTGAATGCATCGCCATCTGCTAACATCCCACCGCGAGACGCGCGTGGCCGAGTGTATTCGGCGTGCCGTCATTCCAACTCCGCGCCATCGCGCTTGCCGCATGCACTACTAAATCTAATAGTACGTTTTCTTCGAAAATTAGCCGAGATGGGAGAAGTGAGGGAGAAAGAGAGGAGGGGGCGGTTACATTGTGATGCTAATGAGAGAAGGCTGTTTTTCGCGCGTGCAACTGCG